GTCCTTATTTCTTATGTTATTTTTTTAAATGTCTCTCTGCTTCAAGGAGATATACTTTAGGAGGGCAGATGTTGTATCTGTCTTGTTCATTGTTGTATCCCAAGTGTCTGGAATAGTGCCTGACTCATAGTAGGTGTTCAATTAAAATATGAGAAGCATCAATCAGACCATCAAACCTCAGAGGGAAGGTAGGGGAGGGTGGGGGTAAAGGGGAGAGATCAACCAAAGGACTTATATGCAAGCATATAGGCCTAACCAATGGATGCAGACAACAGGGGGGTGAGGGCATGAGCGGGGGATGGGGGATAATGTGGGGATAAGGACACATATGTAATAACTTAATCAATAAAAAAATAAAATATGTTAAATGCCTGAAAGGAAAAAAGTAACTTTAAATAATGTGGCATCTTTATTATCATAAAACTTTAGAACTAGAAGCAATTTTAAAATTTTGCAGGTGATATATTTTACCAACAAAAGGAGGTCCAGAGAATTTAAGTGATCTGCCAAAGATCATGTAGCCAAATAAATAAATTGTGGACTCACCAAGTATCTTGGCTCTGAGTCAAGTGTTGTTTTGTTACATCATAGTTCATTGAACAATTTTAAGGGAAACATTATTTTTCTGATAAGAACAGACATTAAAAAATGTAATCATATAAATCATCATTAGAATTGTAAGTTTACAGTAAAGATATCCATGGTCACTTCTGCTTATTTTTTACCAAGGTTTTTTAAAACTTGAGAATGTACTTTAAAAGTTGTTTTACCTGTTGATCTATGGGTTCTAAAGGACCTGATTCATTCATGTTTCTTTCTCATGAAATTCTAAATGTTCATGTGTAGAAATTCAAAAATATTAATAGTTAAGCCCTTTGATAAACATGATACTCTGTGCTTGAATCTTTGCACTTTAAAAAATAAAACAGATTTGTTATATGTATGAAATAATTGCTAATTTGAGTATAAGTTCTGGAATATAATGATTTTCATGTTGGTATACATGCATGTGCACACATGTTAAAGATATTTACTTAATAATATCAAGAACATGTGCCAAATTCAAATAAATAAGCCATGGAGATACAGTGTACAGTACAGGAAATATAGTTGATAATATTGTAATCTCTATATATAAAAGGCTAATATGCAAAGTGTCCCCTCAGGAGTGCAACCTGAGACCAGGAGTTCGATCTCTCACTATGACATGCGCTGACCACCAGGGAGCAGCACGGAACAAAAATGCCCTGGCCGGCAGCTGGCAGCTGGGGAAGGAAGGCCCCAGCCAGCAACAGGAAGGCCCCTATCGGCCCTGATCGCCAGCCAGGCCTAGGGACCCTTCGTGCACCGGGCCCCTAGTATTGTAATTACTGTGTGGTGACAGATGATTAGTAGACTTAGTACAGTGATCACATCATAAAGTATATAAATGTGGAATCACTATGTCATACACCTGAAAGGAATATAATTTTGTACCCCAACTATACTTGAATTAAAAAATAACCTGCCAAAACATATGTTGTCAGGGCTTATGGCTGGACACATTAGGAAAAAGTATTCAATGACTTATGGTATTTGGTCTTTCCATGGGGCATTTCTTGATATTCTTTTGAAGACAAAAAAAAAAATACAGGACATGCAATAAGATGAATGGATACACAGATGGTTGAACACACATTCCCAAAGAGCAGTGATTAATCAGTGTATTTCAATGTATACAGTTTTCCTAGTGATGTACCTGAAAGAGTTGTTTTTTATCTCTGTTTTTCCATCATTTTTATCGTAAAATGTGGCGGTCAAATAGCTAATGTGAGTTAAGATATCATTGATAGAATTGCATCCAAAAGGAAAGAGGTGGTATTCCTGTGTCACTCTGTGTCCCATGCTATTGTTTTGAAAAATACCCCCAAAAGTGGCAATTTAAAAATGGACATGGTGATCCCTTTATAATATGTTATGTGATAATGTGGAAAAGGGGAGTAAATTTGTCCTGTTTGGGGCAGAAGATTAGATCTGGGCCAGTGGGTAAAGTGAAAGGAAACACATTTCAATCATCTGGAATCTGCCACTCAAAAACATAAAAATGGTTTTCTACCAGTGGAGATGTGTATCACAGGTTAGGTGAGAATGGGCAGAGACACTGTAGGCAAGCTTCTTAGCATAATTTAGGAGGTTTAATTACAGAATCTTTTTAAAAAATATATTTTTATTGATTTATGAGAGGAAAGAAGAGGGATAGAGATAGAAACATCATTGATGAAAGAGAATTATTGCCCTAACCGGTTTGGCTCAGTGGATAGAGCGTCGGTCGGCCTGCGGAATGAAGGGTCCCAGGTTCGATTCCGGTCAAGAGCATGTACCTTGGTTGCGGGCACATCCCCAGTAGGGAGTGTGCAGGAGGCAGCTGATCGATGTTTCTCTCTCATGGATGTTTCTAACTCTCTATCCCTCTCCCTTGCTCTCTGTAAAAAATCAATAAAATTTTTTTTAAAAGAAAGAGAATTATTGATTGGTTTCTTCCTGTATAGCCCCTACTGGGGACAGAGCCCACAAGCCGGGCATGTGCCCTGTCTGGGAATAGAACTGTGACCTGCTGGTTCATAGGTCAATGCTCAACCACAAAGCCTCACTGGCAGAGCTAATTGCAGAATCTTTAAGGGCACACCGTAGCCTAAGATTCTAATATTTTCTGATTTTATCCTTGAGTCCTTACTTTATAATGAAATTGACGTCATGGGGTATTATGCATACAATAGATGCTTATAAGAATGTTTAAGTGTATAAAAACTAAAAGGACCATCTTGTTCATAAAGAAAACATGTAAATACATATGACCATGAGTGTTAGGACCAGTTACTCTATCATTTGTGCTGAGAACAAGAGAGAAGCTTTTACTTCTTTCAGCACTATTGGCATTAGTCCTGAAAAGAAGTGTATGAAATAAGACATACGGCAAAATCCTGGACCTAAAACAAATGAAAACCCTTCAAAACCACATATTTAAAACACTATTAAGTACACTGTAAAAGGAAAATCTGAAACTTGAAAAGAAAATAGCAGGTTAGAGAGGAACATAAAACATTGATAAAGGTAGTAACAATTCGGAATACGTACTGTCGTTTTGACCATGTTAGCTATACACTAGCAAAACCAACACAAATTATAGCTAACAGGTAAAAATAAAGGCTAATGATGAAAAAAGAAAAACTGATTGTCAAAAGGGTGACTTACCCTATGAGATTTCAAAATGTATCCCAAATAAAACATAAATTAACTGAAGAAAAAGTCCAGAAACTGAGTGAAAACGTTTACTTAACTTCATATATAAAGAAAAAAACAAAAAACAAAACCTACATGAGGAAACAAATCACTAATAAATGATGTAACAAATGCCCATCAGTATGTACCATATCATACATTCCAATAAATTCTAGATCATTCACTGACTCTACATCAATTAATTGTAAGAAAAAATGAATTAGCTTAACAATAACCCACAACCGTCGGACCACTTTTCTACTCCAGGTATGAGCTGGGTATAAATTTCAGGCTATTTGAGAAATTAATCTTATGCCTTGAAAACCCATCAAGGGGCAGAACAAGTCACTAAAATGGATTCTGCTTCCTTACCTCATTTTCTAGAGCACAGTATCTGGCTCATAGTTAATAGTCAAGAAATGTTCAATTAAAGAAAACAGAAATATATGATTTTTTTATCATATGAATTATGACAAGCTTTCATTCGGATTCATGAAAAGTTGTAGAACTGGACTAGATTCATCAGCTAATGAAACTGATATTATTAAAAAAAGAAAATCCCCATTACAGTTAAACCAGGGAGGTCTGAACATAAAGAACATTAGTGTAAACTATTCACCTATGTCAGTGTACATAGTAGATGAGGATCATCTACAATAAAAAAAAAATTGAAAGACTGATGTTTCACATAATTAAACCCCTGATGAAAATGGGACTAATGAAAAATCAGGAAAACAAATTGGAAAAACAAATGCAATATTGTAAGCACCCACATTTTCTTATAGCTCATTTTCTTAAAGTGAGAGGAAAAGCAGATTGCAGAAGAAAAGGGTAGGGCAACATTGTTTATTCTCTCCAAATACTTAACACATCTAGGAAAAGGGCTGGGGAAACTCTCACAGCAGTTCTTATTACCATAACCCACCCCCCCAGATGTTTGTCTTGTTTTTTGTTGACAAAATTAATCAAATTACCTAAAATATTTAAATAAAAAAGCCATTTATAGGGACAAAACTACAGTTGGAACTTTGATTATTATATTTGCTAGTCAACCTACTAATAAGCCATAGATTTCAAATTATTTATCTATATACCTGTCTATCTATAGACACACACATTACATACCCACATGTGTATGCATATATATGTATGTGTGTGTATGCGTGTGTACATGTATCCATAAAAATATAGACTTACTAATATGTCTTTGGAATAATGCACAAACATATTATTCTTATATGGAATCAGACTTTCTTATATCTTTCTGAAATTATTCACAAAAAATATCCCTATCCCTCAGAATGAGGTAAAAAGCATTCCATCTATCATATTGCATTCTTTTCAGGAACGATTATGAGATACTGTGTCCTGATATCTCTCAAAGTTTCTAAGAGTTTTAGGATCAGATGCTTGTTTTTCTTCCTAATAAAATTTTGTAGGAATGCATAAAAGTAGATTAAACTATGTCGGATTCTTTAAAAGAAAACACTGTTCTTCTTTGACAAGGTTGTTATGTAGCCAAAAAATAAAAAATAAAAAATGAGCATTGCAAGCAGTTCTGAAAACGCAACTGAGATGCAATTTGATAAGTAGCCTTCCATCATCCAAGCCAGAGAGGTGGAAAAGCGTGCTATCAGCACTTTCATCAAAGGCACTATTGACTCTTCTCTTTCTGTCTCATTTTATCATGACTTTCTCATTTTGTTTACTCAGTCAATGATTGGAGAAAAAAGATTCCTTACCCCTTGGATGAGTTTTAATGGAGTCCACGACAGAAAGGTCCTGCTCTCCATCTCTGCTGCCACCGCTGTCTTCACTAGCACCATCACTCTCAATCAGTTTGTCCACCATAGCAATAATGCAGTTCAGGCTCTTCCCCACGTTGGCCCACACCCTATCCTGAAAAGAGCATGAGTATCAATACACATTTTTATTGCAAAAACAAGATAAGACAAAAGCTGATGCATCCATTTTAGAGAAGCGAGAAGAGAAACCATCATGACCATGCAGACTGAGTGACTAGCTCTAATACCCTCATTAATTTGGCCAGACCATGGATACACAAGAAATACATTTTCTCTTAATAAAGCAAAATTTTAAGAGTTATAAATCTTTTTATTTAGTTGATTCTTTTTCTCTGTCATAAAGCAATGATAAATTACCATACGTTAATCCATAATTGAGCTCAAAGTATGAAATTTTAAACTGGATATATATTATCATTTTCTTATAATTTTCCTTATCAATGCTTAGTAAGAAAGCAAAGACACAGCAATATTTTTAAAGAATGCTCACCACTTACAGTAGAAATTCCTGTTTTTCTTTTTATATTTTTATAATACATACACAAAGTTTACCAGTTTTACAATTTTAAGTGTACAGTTCAGTGGCATTCAGTACATTGTTGTGTGACTATCACCACCATCCATCTCCAGAACTTTTGCATCTTGCCCAATTAAAACTCTGTACCCTTTAAACATGAACTCTTTCCTCCTTCAGTCCCTTGCAGCCATCATTGTACTTTCTGTCTCTATTAATGTGACTTCTCCAGGAAATGGAAGTTCTTAAAGTGTGGTCTCCAGCTAATGGGAATGAACTCTGCTATTGAAGAAAAAGGGAGGAGAGGATTGCTCTTCATTTGCCAGATTGGCTTTCTATGTGAGATACATTTTCAGCTCTCTTCTTCTTCTTCTTCTTTTTATTTTCAATCCTCTGATCTTTATCTGAGGATATGTTTTTTCGATTTTAAAGAGAGAGGACGGGAATGGGAATGAGAGAGAGAAACATCGTATGTGCCCCACCTAGGGATGGAACCTGCAAACTACGTATGTACCCCGACTGGGAATCAAACTCACAACTTTTTGATGTATGGGATGATGCTCCAACCAGTTGAGCCACAATGGGAGTCCTGACCAGGGCCCGGGCCAGGCAGGAGCCTATAATCGAGGTACGTGCCCTTGACTGGAATTGAATGGGGGACTCTTCAGTCTGCAGGCTGACACTCTATCCACTGAGACAAACTAGCTAGGGGTCAGCTCTCTTCTTCTTGTCCATGTTGGGAGAAACTGCATTTTAATTAAAAAGCAAGCAATATTGCATGCTGCTCTCCTTCCTTCCCCCCTCCCCCCCTCCCTCCCTCCCTCCCTCCCTCTGTAAAGCAATGCAAAGGATGGGTCAATTTATCTTAATCACATCTCTGAAAAGCCTGAACAGAAGATGATTTAAAAGGACAATTTTACATTTTATACCTATATGCTACTGTTCTTCCTTTACTTATATCTCCCATGATAGGATTTTATTGATAGGAAAAGTAGCCTTTGCAACCATTAAAGAGATCTTTATTGGCATGAGGAACAAAGTGAAACAAGTTCATCAATCAAGACCAACAACCATATACGTAGTAAGGGGTTGTATGGCAAACAGTAGGAAAAACATTTAAGTCATGATCTCACATGAGCTGGGAGAGTGTTTGTTGGGGGTGAGAAATGGAGCAGTTTCTATGCACAGTTCATGCATAATCAGATAATCTATTGAAGATACACTCAGCAGTAGACCCCGAGTAGACTCATTCTATTCTTTTCCCTTTGGGGAGAATATCCTATGTAGCTCATAGTGAGAGAACTCTGAACTTTGCAGGTCATGCTTTCTTCTCTTTTATGGCATCTAAATAGTATATTAAAGTTTTTGATTTGGTATGCACTTCTGTCTCTAATACCAGATTATGGCTTATTTGGGACCTGTGCCTTCAATATATTGCACAGGGCCTGGAAGAAAGGCAGAGAGAGAGGGAGGGAGGAAGGGAAGGAGAAGTTCAGCATTGCTTAAGTGATCAACTTTTCTAGACCTAATTTTTTTTATCAGCAAGAATGTGAAAACTAAACCAGAGCTGGCATGGGGAGTCCAAAGCAGCCCTGGCATATCTATATCTCCATGTACAATTTCCCACTTGTCATTACCAATTTCTAAGGACTTTGATTAGAACAAGCATATAGATTAACAGGGCCAATTTCCTTCTTTAAAAAGAAGCTTCAGTGTATCCTTGATGGAATGCAATTTGCACTATACTGGCCTAGCTCAACATTGTCAACCTGTCTTATTTTAATAGCTTGATAGTTCTTTCCTCTGATCCTAAGTTTATGGAGACTGCTAGATGAAAGGAGTTGTACTTAAAATACTCCATGGCACAAACTGGCACATGTATGCCTCAAGCTATGTAATACACACACACACACACACACACACACACACACACCATGTCCACTAAAAAGAGGTATACATTTGCCATCCACACACACACACACACACACACACACACACACACACCATGTCCACTAAAAAGAGGTATACATTTGCCATCCATCAGCATTAAGTGAGATTTCCTGATGTTTGCTTCCTATGGATCCTCCTGCTTAACTTCACTTATTTACTTATGTAAACATCCTTGACCTTCCTTTCCAATAACCACACTTCTGGTCTTATCCCCAAATTCAGCCCCTAGTCACAGTGGACTCAGATAAGCAGCCAGTTTCTCCGGTATCGATCTCTCTACATTCCCGTGGTTTGGGCCCAGACCTATATATCAGCTATCACACAAACAGGTCTACACAGGAGGGCCACGTTTATCTTCACCAATCAGCAAGCTCAAGTCATCGGTCCTCTGGTCAAAAGCAGGCTAGGCACCACAGTGAATCTTCATTCTTCTCTCAGCCAAGTGCCACCTCTCTGGTGAGTCAACCTAGGAAATTCTCCTTATTTCTTGTTACTCTTCACAATGAAAACTTCACCAGGTCAGTCGTCTTGCTCTCCTAGCAACATCCTATTAAATAGCTTAACATATATTTTCTGGGCACCTGCTGCATGCCTGTTCAGTGCTGATCATTGGAGACATGAAGGAAACCTTGGAAGAACTTATATTTCTACCTGGACACATGCTGCTTTTTATGCTTCAAATACCTTCTTCCTCCTCTTCCATCAACCCAAATACTAACCTTTTCAAGTCTCACCACTTCCAAGAACTATTCGTGCTACCTTTCCTCTGCATTTTTGCTGTCTGATAGACAGAGAGCTCTATGAAGGAAATGACTATTATTCATTAATCCTTTTATTCTCAGGTCTTAGGTGATGAAAGAAAGAAAGAAAGAAAGAAAGAAAGAAAGAAAGAAAGAAAGAAAGAAAGAAAGAAA